GTTAATGCGTTTCTTGAAGGATCTACCTGTTTGTTCAATATAAATTTTAGGACAAGATCCGCATTTGAACCTGTAGACACCTGATTTTTGGAATTTTGGACATTTCGTTTTATTGTTTTTCAAATATTTCCCTATTGTGTTGTTAGTTCTGCAAGCTATTTTTAAGGCACATTTTGACAAATGTTTTGAAACTTTTTCACTAGGTTCTCCTACGTATGTAGTTGTTTTAAATTGTTAGTGTTTTGTATTAGGTTTCGGATAAATAGAGTTTATTGTTATCTGGATTTTTTTTTATTTATAATTTTATCTATAATGGACGGATTGTAGCCGTTGTTCAGTGCAATTTGTTTAATGATATTAAGTTCTTTGTTGTAATTTTTGGTTGAGAGTGGCTTATTAAGAAGTCTGTCTATAAAAGAGTGCCAAAATACAGCCATTTTGTGTGTATAAGGGTGATTTGAGCTGTTATGTATGACTGTGTCCGTGTGTGAAGGTTTATGATAAATTAAAAAATTTAAGGTTGAAATGCGGATCTTGTCCTAAAATTTATATTGGAAAAACAGGTAGATCCTTCAAGAAACGCATTAACAAACATTAAAGAGGATTTAAAAACAATAGTCTAGATTCTAATTATGCTACATACTTAAACACAGAAAACCACATTTTTCACGACAATTTTGATATTTTTCATATAGCCACAAAAAGTAGAAAATTAAGTTTATTGGAAACCATGGAGATTAAGAAAATGAGACATTCAAAAGTACTGCTTAACGATCAATTAAATTTAAATACCTCTCCTTTATTGAACTTAAATTCTCACAGCAACTTTAATTAACGTTTTATGGTCATTTTTCGGTATATATAGTAGCAGGTAGTTTGAAAATATTCCATTTGATAAAGACAGGGTGTTGTCGAAACAATTGTCATGTAAAAATATATAATTTCGTGAAAATCTAAACCTTTAGTTCTTAATAAATGGATTTTCATCAAGTAAAAGCCACCTCTGTTCAAATAATATTGAGCCTCTCATTTGGAATACAATTCCTGAAATAAATCATCCCAATTTAATTTGGGCACGAGATGGTGTGAAATCATCGAAGTATTGATTTTTGAATTTTTAAATGGAAATTTTAGACCCTGGATTGAGTAAAATGACACCATCTTATGGCCAGCAAGGAGCCCGGATTTAAACCCACTAGACTTCTTTTAGCTGGGCTCTAGAAAGGAAATGGTATACAAAAAAACACCACGGAAGTTTTTGAATTGCAACAATAAATTTTAAATGTAATTATTCAATTAATGCTACCAGTTATATATTAAATGCATTATTGAAAATTATAGACATATGGAAAATACAATATAAAATTAATTTAATATTTGATAAAAATATGTAAATTTTGAATATTGTATGCCTAAAATATGTTTTAGAAGTTAAGTTAACATAACCTGGATTCCAAAGATATTCGCTTATAACGGTGCATTAGAGATCAATATGTACATATTGATATTTAACGTTGGGTTTTTTAAAATGTAATAAAGTATTGGGTGTTCCCCTTTAAAAAATGTAACTTTACTTGACCGCCCTGTATGTACTTGAGTCAAAACTAAAATAATACAAAAAAAATAAGGGTCATTTTACTGGAAACCATTTTTTTTACTACACTCCCATTTCGAGATGAGGTAAATTCTGTTAAAATAAAAATCCAAGTGTAGGGGAGCTAACCAACACCCCTGCACTCGATAAAAAGAAAGAGTTTTGCAATTTTTGATAGTGGTACTTATGTCACAATCATTCTGTAGTCCTTTGAATACTTAAAAAAGTTTTGCTACTCTACATCTTTCTGGAACAGAGTTTAGTTCCAAACAATTTTTTTTCAAGAATAATTAAGGAATTAGGCATCGTATTTGTTTAGTTTCCTTTGTAGAAATTCGGAATAAATTTGATATTATAAGAAATTTCTTTTGATTTAAATGTTCATGGATATCGGTCAGTAGACAGTAACAAAATTTGTACTCTATTACGATTGTTTATACCAACTCCGAAATGTACACGTACTATTATTAAAGCAGATGTAGCCTCACCCTAAAATAAATTTTCCAGAAAGAAAATTAAGTTTAGTTACGCCATTTTTATAAGAGATACCTTTCTATTGTGCCGACTCCAACACAATGTATATAATTCGGCGGTTATTCGCCCACCATGTCCATTCGGAACATATCCTCAATCATCGTAAAAGCAAAACGAAAAAAAAAAAAACGGCTGCCAAAGCCCCACGTCACAGTCGTTTTCAGTGCGGCAAAACATAAAACCTGTATCGGGAAAAATTCAATTTCTCCCAAAAAGTAAATTCTTTTATTTGTCCAAGGGCTACGCTAATAATACTCCGTATACACGTGTTTGGGACGTTTCACACGCGTGACGAGGTAACAATTAGACATTTGCTCGATTGGATTGAATTAATGAAGACAGAGGTAAGTAGAAAAGAAAAGAATATATCTTAATAGCAAGAAAATATTAATAATAATACTGATAATAAATTTTTAGTTAAGTAAAAATTCTGAACTTCACCAACAGACAAAAAAACAATGGTAACTATTCGCGAACATGCAGAAAGACATAAGTATTTCTGAAAAATAAGTTATAATTTTTGAATTGAATCAGAAATTTGAATTTACTTTCTATAAATATAGATTTTTTTTTCAGATATTTTGACATAAGTCTGGAAAATATTTTTATTTTTCTGGAAAAAAGTCAAAATTATTCGATTAAATCAGAAATTCAAACTTATTTTTCAGAAATGTTTAGTTGTTGCTCGGAAATTTTCCTAACAAGCATTATTTGGTTGTTTTTATAAAGAATATTTTTATTTCAAGAAATTATAACTTGTTTCTCAGAAAATTTGAATTAAACCAGAAATTTATAAGAGAAGTAAGTTAAAATTTCTGACTTAAATCAGAAAATCATACTAATTTTCCAGAAAATCTGACTTGTATTTCAGAATTTTTGACTAAAATAAGAAATTCGAAGTTATTTATTTATATTTTGATTTAACTCCGAAATTTGGATTTAAATCAGAAATTCTAAATAATTCTCCATAAAAACCTGTCTTGTTTCCAGAAATTTTAACTTAACTCAGAAATTTATAAGAAAGAAAAATAAGTTAAAATTTTTGGCTTAAATCAGAAAATCTAACAAATTTTCTAGGAAATCTGACTTTTATTTCAGAATTTTTGACTAAAATGAAAAATTTCTGCTTATTTTCAATATCTTCTGTTTTTTTTCAGACATTTTGACTTAAGTCTGGAATTCGTATTTTTCTCAGAATTTTGCCTAAAACCTAAATTTAAGGAGAAATATTTTTATTTTTTTTTTGAAGAAAAAGTCAAAATTTTTCATTGAAATCAGAAATTCGAAATTATTTTTCAGAAACGTTTTCTTATTGCCCAGAAATTTGTCTAACAAGCATTATTTGTTTGTTTTTATAAAAAATATTGAGTTTGGACTTAAAACTGAAAATCTAACTTAATTCGAAAAAATTCTTACTTGTTTTTCAGGAACTTTGAATTAAATCATAAATTTATATACTACTACTTATTTTCAATATCTTCTGATTTTTTTTCGGACATTTTGAGTTAAGTCTGGAATTCGGATTTTTCTCAGAATTTTGCCTAAAACCTAATTTTTATGAAAAACATTTTTATTTTTTACGAAAATAAGTCAAAATTTTTCATTTAAATCACAAATTCAAACTTATTTTTCAGAAATGTTTACTTATTGCTCAGAAATTTGAATAACAAGCATTATTTGTTTGTTTTTATAAAAAATATTGAGTTTGGACTTAAAACTCAAATTGTAACATGATTTCAAGAAATTCTGACTTGTTTTTCAGGAACTTTGAATTAGATCATAAATTTATAAGCAAGAAAAATATGTTAAAATTTTTTACTTGAATCAGATGATTTTTCCAGAAAATTTGACTTGTAATTCAGAATTTTTGACTAAAATAAGGAATTCGAACTTATTTTCGATAAATTCCGATCTTTTTTCAGTCATTTTGACTTAAATCTGAAATTCGAATTTAAATCAGAAATTCTAACTAATTCTCCAGAAATTTGCCGCGTTTTCAGAAATTTTGACTTAACTCAGAAATTCATAATACTTAAATCAGAAGTTCAAACTAATTTTCCAGAAAATTTGACTTGTTTTCCAGAATTTTTGACCAAAATGAAAAATTTCTGCTTATTTTCAATATCTTCTGATTTTTTTTCGGACATTTTGAGTTAAGTCTGGAATTCGAATTTTTCTCAGAATTTTGCCTAAAACCTAATTTTTATGAAAAACATTTTTATTTTTTATGAAAATAAGTCAAAATTTTTCATTTAAATCACAAATTCAAACTTATTTTTCAGAAATGTTTACTTATTGTTCAGAAATTTGAATAACAAGCATTATTTGTTTGTTTTTATAAAAAATATTGAGTTTGGACTTAAAATTGAAATTCTAACTTGATTTCAAGAAATTCTGACTTGTTTTCCAGACTTTTTGATTGAAATAAGAAATTCGAACTAATTTTCCATAAATTCTGATATTCTTTCAGACTGTCTGAAATTCGGTTTTAAATCAGAAATTCTAACTAATTCTCCAGAAAATCTGCCTTGTTTTCAGAAATTTTGACTTAACTCAGAAATTCCTAAAAAAGAAAAATAGGTCAAAATTTCTTAAATTATAAGTTTTTCAGAAATGTTAACTCATTTGCCAGAAAGTGTTTTCAATGTGAAATCGTCGAGAAGGGAGTATTCCTTTACCGTGTAAAATGTTTTTCAGAGTTTTTCCAGGTTCACCGTCCGTATGGGATAGGCCTATGGGGTCGTAATATCCTTCGCGATACGCCTAGGCATTTTATAAAGTATTTTTACTGCCGGCGTATAAAGCTCGCAAGTGAATTACACTCGACGTAAACTCGGGGAAATTACAGCACCGGGAAATATTTATTACTGACCATCGTGTCGGTATACTCGATGAGTTTGTCTTCGGAGACGTCGTTTATTTTCTTCGCTTCCTTGAGAAGATCTCTTAAGAAGTTCTGTAACAAAACGGAAACGACAATGATGGTACCCCGAGCGCCGGTAAGGAATAATGAAATATAAACGCACCTTAAGCTCGTCCGCCTCTATATATCCGCTCCCGTCGGTGTCGTATTCCCTCCAAATCTGGAAAAAAATGGTTTCAGGGAGGCGGGTTATTAAATTCACACGGGTGCCTTTGGCGTGTTATAGGTTGGTGTTAATGTAAACTGTGAGTCAATGAGTTAGAAGGCAATTCCGGTATGGGAAACGTGCGTGCCGCCGAGTTGTTTGCCTCCCGGATTACTCCGGGTAGGTAGATTTATTAAAAAATTAAAAGCATGAATGGCGGTTATTAAGGTGGGCCAAAAAAATAACGATTTTTCTTTGGATCTAACACACAAAAACTAGTTGCTTAGATTTAGTCTCAGATATAAATAATCATAACTTATCATCAATTGATCATTAAGCCAATTTTATTGATAATTTTTATAGGAAATCGGACGCTCTACAAAAATTATCTCTACTTTTTTGATGAATCGAACCATTTCAAAGATATTGGAAGTCAAAGATTGAAGAATTTAAAGAAAAATAACTTTTTCTTATGAATTTTGTTATTGACTGAAAGATAATCATCGTGAAATGTTGTCAATCGTCCTTATAGGAAATTTAAGGCTCCAGAAGAAAGGTTTCTTGTGGTTTATCGATTACTCAATCCGTTTTGAGGATATTTGCATTGGAATCCCAACGGGTACCAATATTCATAGTTTCTAATAAATATTTTCAATTTATTTACTAAATTGACGAGTTTTCACAACATTCACAAAAATTGGAGTTTATTTTGATAAAATAACATTTTTTAAATTATTTTTTACCATTTGTTTGGGAGTATATTTCTTCCTATTCAAATTTCTAACTATATTTTCTTTTATAATTTTAATCACTATTGAGGATTTTGATTGAATATTTCCATTTCAAAGATATTCAAAGTAAAAAATTGAAGAATTTAAAGAAAAATAACTTTTTGATCTGAATTTTGTTATTGACGGAAAAATAATAATCGTGATATGTTGTCAATCGTCCTTTGAGGAAATTTAATGCTCTACAAAACAGGTTTCTTATGGTTTATGGATTACTCGAACCATTTTGAAAATATTTGCATTGGAGTGCCTATGGGTAATTATATTCATAGTTTTTGATATTTTCTATTTATTCATTAAATTGACGAGTTTTCGCAAAATTTACAAAAAAGGAGGTTTATTCTGATAAAATGACAGTTTTTAAATTATTTATTACCATTTGTTTGGGAGTATATTTCTTCCTAATCAAATTTCTAACGATATATTCTTTCAAAATTTTAATCATAATTGAATATTTCTCAACGGGTTCATTTAAAATAAATACGAGGGACCTTTTTGTAGATCATTATATTTCTTATACAAATAATTGAAAACATTTCGCGATAATTATCTTTTAGTCAGTAACGAAATTCAGAACGATATCTTTTCGTTTCGTTTTCTTTAAAATTTTCAATCTTGAAAATGGTTCAATTTCCTATTAAAATTATCAATAAAATTGGCTTGGTGATAAAATATGATTATTTATATATGAGACCAAATCGAATTAAATTATTTATATTTTAATATTTAATTATTAAGAAAATCTAGACTTTTCAATTTAAAATGATCCCAATATATTCGCTTATTTTGAACATTCTGTGGCATCTAATTTAAATTCTTTTACGTCATCTTCCAGTAATGTTATTATCAAAAATAATGTCGCTATCGCATTTTTTTCGTACGTGCGAAGACTAGTTTTTTTAGAAAAATTTAGATATTGAAAAAACTGTTAGGTTGGATAATAATAGGATATTTCATTTTTAAAAATGTTTTATTCGTCACACTTTTTTGAGCAACCGTGAAGAAAATAATTTTAAACGTGCATCATAACAATCTTTACAATTTTTTTTATTTACCAATATCTCATAACTTTACTTTACTTACACTGCAGCTAAACTGTGTGTAACAAATTCAAGTCAAAATTAGTCCAAGATGTCTGGATACATAATAAAATCATTCTTTTGACATGCCCTATTTCTATAAATTTTCTCTCAATTTTACTAACTTGCTTACGTTTTCGTTATGGCTCCATATCCAATAAAAATTCAAATTTCAATTCTCTCAATTCAATTAAGAACTTTACTTTATCACGTTATCTTAGATATTTTCTCATTACTGCAAAAAATGCGCATTATGATGTAGGCGAGCATTTTTCTTTAAGTCCAATGCTCTTACATTTCAATGAATTTATTCGATATTTTAGCCATTCACTACTGCATGTTGTACATCACATTATACGCCCCTGGTTTATTGTCGATAATAATGGTTTTTCCAACAACGATTAGCGAAAAAATATTTTAATTTTCGTTTGACATTGTCGAGATATAGGTCGTAATTCTTGAAGTCGGTGTTCCGAAAACATTTGTTTAATTTCTGATTTTGCTATGTCTTTTTTCGTAAATATTACCGTAAGTTTATTGTATTTTTTGTTCTCCGCGTTTTTTTTAATTTCTAAGAATTTAAGTATAAAGTTTACATTACATATTTTTTTAATTTGTAGATTATGTGTTCATATGAGAAAGAAACCAAACGCCTTTTAGCAGTGTATGATGAAATTGAAGGTGATGAAGAGGTAGGTGGACTTCATGAAGACGAAGACGACCTTTTAGAGAGTAAAGATCAATACTCTAATTCAGAACATTCAGAAGAAGAGCTACTAAACCTCAATGAATCTCAGCGAGACCTGAATGTCGGTCTATGCTATTTGCTTTGCTTTGCTATTTCCCGTAGCGGCATCTTGAACCAAAACGCGAACTTGAAATATAGTGACTCAATCTTCTGGTGTAATTGGAAGAGCCAAACAAACAAAAACTAGAAAGAAATGCCAATGATACCAGTAACAATGAAGAATCGCATAAAAGAAATATCAGGTGCTGTAGAAGAGTCCGCGGGAACTGACCAATACAATGTTACAGGCAGATGCCACTATTGTTCGTCGACGAAAAACAGAAAAACAAAGACGCAGTGTGTACAGTGCCAAAAGTGCACAACCCAACTGTGCCCAAAATGTAAAAATGGTTAGCAATGAAACTCTAGAAAAGGTGGATTAACTACATAAAATTATAGATAAGGTTTACTTTTTTAGTGTTGTAGTTTTATTTAAATCCATTTTGTTTATTTTTCTTTTGACGACATAAAATAAAGTAAATTAAAAAAAATATAGTTTTGCTGACCGTATAAAAGTTAGTAAAGAATTTTAAATTTTTACTAACTTTTTTTGATGGTATGTTGGCTTTATTTTTGTATTGAAAGTTAGAATAACTTAAAATTGGGAATGCGGTGTATTACCGGGTTAGGAAGCAGCAGCAAAAAATTCCATAAGTGATCCAATGACCCCTCTTTTTGGGGAAAGATGGGCATATTTTAAAATAGCTTGTGTTTGAAATACGGTGATAAATATTTGAGTCTCTATGAATGTGTTGTAAGTATTTTCCGTTTTCAGGATCGTATTTAAAAAGATGCATATATTTTATTTACAAAAATGAGGTTGGTATCTGGTTCGAGTTGATATGGCGAATATAGCAAATATCAGGCCATCTAGTTTAGGTTTAGTATTTTTCAGGGTATTTTCCAGTTATTCTGTTCACCAAAGCAAGTGTTTTAACGCGTCTAGTAATTAAATAAATTGTTGATATTGAAATGGAAGTGAATTGATTCAAAACTCTATGTCAATGTCATGTCGATCTAAGGACGAGCTTTTACACTTACGCTATAAGTTTAGCAATTAAGTCATTTAATTGTTTTCTAAGCAATAGCTGAAAGGGTCGCTGAACACCTGGAGAAGACATTTCAATCATTTCAATGAAGGTCAAAGCGTACTTGATAGGGACAACCTTATCCAAGAAGAAGGTGAAATTAAACTCACCACCTCAAAAGAAATCGCTGCTGAAATTAAAAAAAAAAAACGTTAACCCGACGAAAGCTCCAAGGTCTGATTTAATTACTGGGGAGATTCTAAAAGAGCTTTCTAGAAAAGCTATAGTCAAACTCACCTATCTCATGCCTCATGTAGATTGAAATATGTGCCAAAGCTATGGAAAGTAGCTGAGCTGACTATGATTCCTAAACCTGGAACACTGCTAAATATCGTTTCATCCTACAGACCAATATCTTTGCCACCTGTAGCTTCAAAAGTGCTCGAAATATTATTTATTAAAACGCTGAAACCCATTATACAAGAGAATAACCTAATTTCATTATTAGAAAAAGTCAAGATCAGATCCACTGAATTACAGACCAGATCGAGAAAGTCTCAGAAGAAAGAAAAATTTTCTCTACCAATTTCCTTCATGTCCATCAAGTTTTTGATAGAGTATGGTATGAGGGACTTGAGTATAAGTTAAGAAAACTTTTGCACAAACAATACACCCAATTACTGGAATTAAAGCAGGGGTTCCACAAGGCAGTGTACTGGGACCTGTCCTATACCTGTTATGAAGAAGCAGCGAGAAATCTGCTAATTAAGTTAACGACTGCACAAAATCATACAAATACCATACGCTAATACTGCAAAATATTTAGGTATTACTTTGGACGCTAAGCTGCGCTGGAAGGCCCACGTGAAAAAGAAGAGAGAAACACTTGTTTTAAAATATAAGACAAGGTATTAGCTATTAGGTAGGTATTCCACCCTGTCAGCTTACTATAAACTATTGCTGTAAAAACAGATTCTTAAACCCGTATGGACATATAGCATCCAGCTGTGGGGCTGTACCAACAAGACTAATACTGATATTATCTTGCGCCTCCAGAATGAAATATTAAGCAGCTTCGTCAACGCTCCTTGGTATTTTAGGAACAGTGAGCTCCATAGAGACATGGATGTGGACTGTGAACTGTTAGCCAAACCATTAAAAAATTCGCCACGATTCTGCTTAGGAGACTCAAAAGAACCAAACCCTACGAATTAGTGTGTCAGTGTAAAAGAAGAATAAAATGCTATTAGCGAACACATAATTAAGTGTCTAAGTAATTATAGTCTTAGACTTAGACTTTAGACTTACTTAGACTTTCGGAAACAAAAATCTTTTTTTAAGCGGATTTTCGAATGGAAAAAAAATCGAACCTAGCAAAAGCAATACCGCGATGGGTCATATTAATTGGTTAACGATGTCATAATAAATATGACCCAACACCCCTAGTTTGAAGAAACATTCATAAATTCGTACATTTGCCTAGCTAAGGTTCTAATAACCCAATATTCCGACATCGTTAAACTTCGCCGAGACTGTTCTCTTATTTTATTAAGTCCATTATAGCGGACGAATGCCATTTCGAACTAGCCAGATGCCAACCTATGCAGATTTTACTGCTCCGGTGTCTACGGTTCGCTTACCTTCATAAACTCGACGCTCGACTCTAGAGGGTTATCAAATCTAAATAATAATAGAAAGTTCTCCTCCATCGGTAGTAGCTGAGCTAGCTGAAAACACACAATGTAAATTTAAAATCGAGTTTCTAAGGGATTGTGCCGATTTACGCGATTTCGTTCACGATATCCCTATCGACTACGACGTAGCAGCAAGCTTTATCTAGACATGAGCTTCTTTTTTGCATGAACACACTTTCGTTTCGTTCCGAATGGTTCATTTGATACTCATAATTTTTTGGGGACTATTAAACATAAAAGTAAGCAAAATATTGGTTGGCTAGTTTGTGTTGTATCCCTTTTCAGTTTTAGATTTAATAAATATCTTTTATTTATTAAAAATACGATGAACAAAGGGATATTGTAAACTATAAGAGACAGATTTATTTTAAATTGATACCCTTACGTAGATACAGGGTGAAAAAGGAAAATGTCTATTTTTGAAAAATCACGATATTGTCCTAATTATAGGAGCCGAAACGTTAAAATATTCAGAATATGGGTAAAAGGATACGACGATGCTAAAAATGGTGTAAAAAATTAGGCGTACTGAAATTCTACGTTTTCAAAATCATATTTAACAATGCTTTTCAATCATGCGTAAAACATTAATGTTTGGTCAAGATAAGTCTGAAAAGATAACAGAAGTAAGATTTCAGTAGGCTTTGATATAGCTTCGTAATTTATTTATTTATTTACTTATTTATTTACAATTAGCAATTACAAGACAGGGCATATTAAACATAAGATTACACGTGGTAAGGAATAGACAGGAACTAAAAGACTGTTACAAAATTTTCCACAAAATTTTACACATTTAAGCACTGGCCTTAAAAGACTTGTATGGAGTGTTCTTTTTCGATGTATAGAACTTTAAGTTGCAATAAAACAACGATTGATTATTCCATTGACATGAATTTTATTTGTCCGAAAGATAATCTTGTGGCATTACATTTTAAATCTGATTTCTGGCATATGACCGCCACGGCTGGCGCCGATGTAGTCCAATCTGGACGTCCACTTTTCGATGACTTTTTCCAACATTTGTGGCCGTATATCGGCAATAACATGGCGAATGTTGTCTTCCAAATGGTCAAGCGTTTGTGCCTTATCCGCATAGACCAATGACTTTATATAGCCCCACAGAAAGTAGTCTAGCGGTGTTAAATCACACGATCTTGGAGGCCAATTCACAGGTCCAAAACGTGAAATTAGGCGGTCACCAAACGTGTCTTTCAATAAATCGATTGTGGCACGAGCTGTGTGACATGTCTTGTTGAAACCACATCTCCTGGACATCATGGTTATTCAATTCAGGAATTAAAGAGTTAGTAATCATAGCTCTATACCGATCACCATTCTGGCCATCATCGTTTTTGAAGAAGTACGGACCAATGATTCCACCAGCCCATAAAGTGCACCAAACAGTCAGTTTTTCTGGATGTAACTGTGTTTCGACATATACTTGAGGATTAGCTTCGCCCCAAACGCGGCAGTTTTGTTTGTTGACGTAGCCATTCAACCAGAAGTGCGCTTTATCGCTAAACAAAATTCGCTTATGAAAATCAGGAACAACGGCAATCTCGTTTTGGGCCCATTCGACGAATCTATGCCTTACTGGATGATCGTTTGGCTTCAATTCTTGCACGAGTTGGATTTTGTAAGCACGTAAACCAAGATCCTTTAGCAAAATCTTCCATAAAGTGGATGGACACCGATCTAATTCCTATGCTCGATGGCGGATGGACTCATTCGGGTCTTCCTCAATGCTACGCTCTACAGCACCAATAGCTTCTTCTGTACGCACCGTACGGCGTCTCTGGGGATGCGAGTTATCAATAAGAGTAAACGTGGCGCGAAAACGTTCCATAGTTAATCGAATTAACTGCTCTGATGGACGATTTTGCCTACGATAAAATGGACGTAGTGCGCGATACGTATTCCGCACAGAACCATTATTTTCGAAATAGAATTGCGCTATTTGCAAGCATTGTTCAGGCGTGAGTCTATTCATGATGAATTGAGAATAAATCACTTGACAGCTGTTAAATCGGTCGCCATCTTGAACAGTAATGCCAACTTAAAGTTCTATACATCGAAAAAAAAACACCCATTACAAGAAGGTCACTTAATAAGATTTTTTTTTCAAAGAAACTTCCATAGGCTACTTTAATGCTTTTTACAAACCTTCTGGATTCCTCCTGGGTCGGCTTTTACTGAGTCGAAATTGCTGACGTTTCACCAATCATCCTGTTGCCTTCTTCAGAGCTTCAGAGATTGGCGAAACGTCAGCAATTTCGACTAAGCAAAAACCGACGCAGGAGGAATCCAGAAGTTTTGTAAAACGCGACTCAATAAGATGTTGATAATTTTATAAGGGAAAATTACGTCTGAACAGATTCTGCGTGTTTCAAGCGACCTAAATTTATAGTAGTTTATTTTAATTCGAAAAGTATTATATCTCTAATTAAGGTACGTAAAAAGATTTTTTCGGATATTCTTTATCCGATCTACATACTTGTTATGGATGATGATTTTGATGATTTTATTTTAAATTCGAATGGCTGATTAGTGGTTACTAAAGCCTTTAGTGTTACGTAATACAAAACCAAGATTTCTCAAGCCCTTATTTACATTATTTTCTACATGTGCTTCAAATGTTAACTTAGAGTCTAGTATGATGCCTAAATTTTTAGCTTGAGTAACTGTCTGAAGGTTTATATTGTCTAATTTAATAATTAATAAGTTTTTTTCCTTGTAAACGGTATTATAGTAGATAGTACTAATACTGGACTTCTAAAATGTCATCTGCAAATGAGGCTGCTACTGAATATTGAAAACAGCTTCCAATATCAAATATAAAAATATTGAAAAGTAAGGGACCTAAGTGTGACTTCTGAAGAACTCCAGACGTTACATTAATAAAAAAAGCCTCTTTTCGTCGTTCACAACCATAATTGAAGATAATTAGCTTCTTCTGTGGCATTACCAGACTTCAAGATTGGTACAATTTGTGCTACTTTTCGACGTTTTGGAAATATACCCTGTTTTAAACAGTGCCACAGTTGGACAATATTTTAAAAACTGAATAATTAAATGAAATATTGTTGTTATTGTCAAGAGTCAGTGTCAGTAATAATGTATGCCGATTCACAAATTGTGGACTCTTTAATCGAAAGAACAATATATTTTGGGCATATGGAAATCCAAGGTCAGCTCGTGAGGTGAGGATTTAAGGTTTGCTTTGATTTTTTGGGTACCCACAAAATTGAACCATATTTTTTCGACGATTACCTAAATTCTGAGCGATATTCAAGCCTTGTACCGATAAACGTTACAGAAGATCTTATGAACCATCCAGTAGCAGCTCCGTAAAATATGTTTTTCCAAAAAAGCAGCGCACCACGATACAGTGCCCAGATTATTGCAAACTCTTTAAACGCATAATTTCCCAATAGGTAGATGGGCAACCTGGAACCAGTCAGATGGCCAAACATAGCACGCATTGATTTCGTTATATGTGATCACCTCAATAATCGAGTATACAGCGGATCCTATGGAAAATTTGGAGAATTAAGAGAAACTGTTACAGAAGCTGTTAACGGCATCACTCCGTAAAAGTTAAGACAATCCTCTGTAGCAGTGCTGAGAAGCTTTATGTTATGCGTGAAACAAAGAGGTGGATTATTTCAATACTGTATCTAATTTCATTGTAAAATTCTGTGTATTTTCTTCGTTTTTGTGTGTTAAAGAGGAAAAGGACCTTTGAAGGTATGTTATGTATTATTTTACTGACTTCTTTTCTCGATCCTCTCCCTTCAATTTTATTGACTTCTTTCTTTTCCAATCATTATTTAAATGTGTTTTCAAACTCACAATTTATTAATTTCACACAACTGACACTTGACTGTTGACGATAATTACGAATCACCTGGGATACGCTGGCGCGGCCAACTTGATGGAAAATATACGCAGCGTAAATCCTATTTTTGTTATTTTTCCGAATTTTAAAAAAATGTATAAATTTAAAATGGCGCTTCTTAGAAAAATAAAAGTTGAATTCGGTCGTATTCAACATAGTAGGCCTAATTTTTTTCCGATGCAATTGCTTTTACCCATACCTTGAAAATTTGAACATTTCAGTTCCTATAATAAGGAAAACAATGTGCTATTTCAAAAATGGAGGTTGTCCTTTTTCACCCTGTAACTAGATAAGGGTATCGATTTAATTTAAAAGAAAGCTGGATAATTTTTTGCCATATACATACGCTACTTTTCTTTCATTTAAGCGGCACTGTATCTATTACAGTTTGCAATATAAGTACATAATATTATACTGAGCTCTGTTGTACAGGCAACAGAAAATAATTAAAAAATGTTGCGCATAGAACAGAAGTATCTTTTAATTAAAGATAATATTTAAATCTTAAACTCAGAAGCCGCAACCGCACCTCCCAAGCGAGTCTAAATTCAATCTTATAAATGGTGAAGATGAAAAAAAAATCAGTAAAAATAGATTTTTTAATACAGTTGAAGCAATAAATTATTATAAATTAGATGAAGGGTCTCAATTCAAGAGTCTACAGTTTTCTTTAGGAGATACTGTGAGAATATGCATTATTTAAAGAGAATATGTCAACGTTCTTCAATGTTAAGCACTTATAATGCTTTTTTAAGCCATTAGTGAAGCCTAGAGCTGAGATAATATTTTTCGAGGTTTATAAAAGCATAGATCAAAAACGTCAGCAAAGTACAAACCATATTTTATATACTCGAAACATTTAGTTACAATATTAATATAAATAATAAAAAACAACGGCCTTAAATGGGTACTTAAATTCTGATCTTAGGACGGTGCTGTATGATTCGTTTATTCTCTTCAGTTTTTATTTCTGTGATATCGTGTATGACGACTATTGCTTAACAGCAAAGAATGCGGAGAGAACTGAGAACATTCAAAAATATTGTACAATATTTATCTGGGCTATTAGAAGACGTCGACTAGTTAGCCACAGATTAATAGATATAAACTGGCTTTATACGAAATGCAGACGCAAATTGCACTGTGCATTATTGTATACTTTCATTTAAAAATGGTGAATTTTTTTTATAGAAAAATATGGTTTTGTACTAACGTGCACCATTTGATCATACGATATGAGGGAGTTTGATATCTCCATTACACAGAACAGAAATTTTTGAAAGCTTCTCGTATAATGTATAGCTTATATAACTGTATTCCAGTAAAAAACCTTACACAGCAAGGTTCAAAAGCAGGATCTGTTCTTGTTAAGATAAAGTGCTTCACCTGATGAGATAAACATTTTTTATAGATCTGCCTGACTTTCACAAATATTTTTGTTTTTCTCTTGAGGGACCTTATCTTTTGTTTCTTCTCTAGATTACACTTTCAGTTTACCTTGATATATAATTACTGCCTGGTAATGTGTTGCTACTTACCTGGTTAAGTGGAATACCAACCTTTTTTATTTTTAAAGATAGAGATGAACTTCGCTAGTTCACATATAAATTATCTTATCAAAAGTTTTATTGGCAGTGCATGCATTGGCCTGGGTAGGGGCAATATGCCATTACATTACTGTCAATTGATGTGATTAGAAAAAAAACACGATGCTATTCACTAATATCTAAATAAAAAAGCAACTTTTTCAACCATAAAAAATTAAATTAAAGATATCGAATTTTATTTTGCAATTATTTTGTCGATTTGCAACAAGCGTTTTAACCATTCCTTGCTCTCTATCGAATCACTCACATCACCGATATTGAAAACTTGCTGCCACTGCTACTACGCTTCACTGTAAAATATCAAGTTAAGTGCGCAAAATCCAGCGGAAGTGGGAACGGGGCGGAAGTAAAGTTAAGGGTTGCAAAAAGTTTAGCGTGAATTGCAACCTACGTGTTAGTATTTGCGAAATATGGGTACATATGTATCCAACTTTTGTCGCTCGGAGATAACGAATGTGCTGTTGTACTACTGCCTGAGAGACGTCTATTGCAATTCGAACTTTTATTGTTTTGATCGGCGTAGTTTGTGAAAACTTTTGAGAGGAAACCTACTCTCAGGCTTTGTTTTGTATTTTCATTTCCGACATTAACTTAGCGTTGAACCTCATCAATGATTTTTTATTTTGCCTGTGTACTTTTTCTACTTCGCCCTAACTTCCTGTTAGTTTGTTTACCGACAAAAATGCAGGATTCATGAACGTATGGGACATGCTAATAGATGTAATGCGCGGATGTTTTAGCCAAACATGTACAAATGTACAAGATATTCACAAACTTACAAAATTTTATTTAAACTTCCCAAAAAAAAAAATACCAAAATTATCAGAGAAAAGGAAAAACGGAATATGAATGACCAAAAAAAAAAAAAGTTGATAATCGCAATTGGAAGCGATTGTTGTACATTCAATAATAAAATATTTTTTTCATTTTTGAAAATATTTTTTTCTTAAAGTGGACCCGTTTTTATAAAACTTATAGATTATCTGTGCTTCTTTTAAAAAGTGCTGTCCTGTGGGAAGGTGGAGATATAAATCCTCTGAATCATGATTTTAATAATGAATCTCTATCTGTCTAATTCAATAAGAAATTTTCTTCGTCACAGAATTTAATTTACATCTATTGTACATATTGTAAATAAAATTTCGTATTCTGTGTTTAACTATTTTATCTAGACAATTTTCATGTAATAATTGAAATGATTTTATGATATTCACTTAATAAACGTTTGTGCGGATAAATATTCAGTGGAAGATTAGCTTTCTGTAGATAGCTTTCAATTTGTTTTTTGAATCCTAACTTAGGGTCAAGTACAATATCCGAAGTCGTAATACACTGAAAAAATTCTAATTTTGTGGCATTCAAATTTATATTCACATTCGTCCCTACAGGGTGAATCAACGATAGAGACAAGTTTATTATCTCATTGGTTTCAAAAGTGAGAAAATGGTGATTACAAAAGTTGTAAAGTATACAGGGTTACTGAAAATAGCACGACGAATAATAAATACCCACGCTATTTTTAAAATTGTTTTGAACTCGAGTAGATATTTTTCAAGTTTTTCATTAATAACAGCACATACCTGAACCTTATAGTTTTCCCAATATTTTTCTTAACGAATGCACATAAAAACTAACCAAAAAATGCAAAAAATTACGATAGCGCCATTTTTGAAGATGGATGGATGGAATCGAATTTAAATTAGATGCTACCGGGGTTTCAAATTAAACGAATATATTTGGGTCATTTTAAATTGAAAAATCTGGATTTTCTTAAATGGTACACCATATCAATTATTTACTTTTTCAGAAAAATCTTACAAAAACTTACAACTTTGATTAGGTATGTTATATACCATTTTTTAATACTTTCCGATTTAGCAATTTTATTTGAAAATAACGGCCAAATTTTAAATTCACAGAGAAATCGAATAAGACTAACTACCTATATGCCCTTCTACTTGGATATACATGTTAAGTCTTTTTCGTATATTTCCTTGGACGTTTCATAGCATAAACTGTGTTATTCTAGTGCATGTGCCTGGAATCCTATTTTCCATATCTTTTGGTGTTGTATGGAGATTTTCATAAAGACGAACTTTAACATAACCCCACAAAAATATTTTTAGTGATGATCGATCCAATGAATCCACCTCTACCGATACATATCTGTGAATAATGATTATTTAAAAATTCTCGAATTTCTCGATGGTACGCATTACCATCTCCTGCTCCATCTTGCTCCATCACATTTGTTGGATCGGTTGAATAAGTTGAGGTAAATCATTCTGCAATAACTTTAAAGTGTTTTATTCCACACCACATATTAAGCGACTAATGGCTAGCGTTTCGCACTTCCCGTATCCAGAGTGAGTTGACTCTTAAATAACCCTATTTTGGAGAAAAAATTTGAATCGGCCTCTAGTGCTTCGTTTATAACGATAACCCTTTGTTCAAAATCACTTTTTAGAAGTTCTTGGTGTAGTTCCATATGGTGTTTTCTAGAAGGGGTAATTAACGCTAGGTTGGGATGTATCACATAAGCTAGCTACTTGATGGCTACTGACCTGGGCATTATTATAAACTGGAACTAAAATTTCTAATTCTTTTTCCTCATTAGTAGTATTCCGGCTTACTAATTTCCGTTTTTCATATTTATTACTAAAACTAGCATCAAACCGTTCCATTAAACACTGAAGAAATTGTCTAATTGGTATATGTCTATTAGAGTGCTTTGCATTATAAAGTCTTACTGCCAGCACAGTACTTGGTTGTTACTTAGTTGTTTTTTTTTTAATTTACTGACACCATAATAGATTTTATTTTATGAATTTATATACTCAGTTGTCAGGTAAAATATTGACAGTTATTTTGTCATGGCCAACCAATGTTATAATACCCTTAGACAGAAAGAATGTTTTTTTGTAAGATTGTAAGATCTCAAAAAAAATGCCACTTAAGAAAATCGACGTTTTTCAATTTAAAATATAAAAATATATTCGTTAATTTTGAACACCTTGTAGCATCAATCCAAATTACGTCATCTTTGAATAACGCTAATATTAAATATGAATCTACCTTTAAAAACAGTTGCGTTATCCCAATTTTTTTGCAATTGCGAAAACTCGTTTTTTTTTGGAAGATTAAAAAAAAAACTTATTTGTCACGCTTTTCTTAAAGTGTGCATCCTAATAATCTTTACAATTTTTGTATGTACCATTTTCCCATAAATTTTGAAACGGATGAGTAATGAACGATACTAGTCCACTCACCCCGTACATACGTTTATGAACCCTCCTGCATATAGGAACACCTATTTTCTAGAAAAATTTCTCACCTCACGTATATCTATTTTACCGTCTTGATTGTCGTCATAAGCTTCCATGAAACAAGCCTTTAGCTCCACCAACATATCATCCGATACTGCCTAGAAAAGGAGGACAAAATGGTGATGATTAATACGGAGCCGGAACTGTCTAATATTTTTAATTTATGTTCCAACGCTGGAGCAAGGAAACTGTATGCGCAGAATACGCGATTTTCCTTACCTCCGGTCCTACATCTGTCGCGTTGGCACTGGAGACAAATTCCCTTAGAAATCCATCCAGTTCGGTTCCCTCAATGTACCCGTTTCCTTTAAAAAAATAGTTGAATAATAACATCTATTAACCGAAGCCCATAATTCTTATGTTTCCAAAATTTTGAAAAAATAAATTAGTTTTTTTTTAAAGAAACTTCCATATACTCTCACCCTTGCTCTGATGTCATTGTTTCTTTTGTTTTGTTTATTTTTTTTAATTTTGTATTATTTATGCATAGTTTTAAAGTAAAGGCTATAAATAAAAAAAACATAAATTAAATAGACGTCCACTATTTACAAATCTTCTAGATTTCTCCTGCATCGGTTGTTGAAAAATGGAACTTGCTGACGTTTCATCAATCATCCTGTTGGCTTCTTCAGAGCTTAATATTGGTGAAACGTAAAAACCTGAGTCGCGGTTAAGATTATTTGGTTAGTTATGGATTTTTCAGGTTCTTTTTTAAAGCTATTTAATATTTCTCGTCCGGTCTTTTCTTGATTGGTAGAAGTATTGAACACATGCACGAATTTTAGCTTTATCTAATAAGATTTGATGTCTGGTTTATTGATTGTGTTCAGCAACCGCTGTTGAATTTATTTATCGTAGTCTTAAGGCTTATTCATGTTCTTTGAGCCTAGTTGATAATTTTCGCTCAATATATTCTAGATATTGAGAAATTTTTGAACCAGTGTCAAACCTGTTTTTGACATTATATTTCTTAAGAACATTTGATATGTGGTCAGTGATGTTTTCCATGTAACACAGTTGCAAGTGTGGGGTCACTTTCAGACTCATTTTCTTAGGGGTGTTGTGCTGAAGTATATTTTGTAAAGTAGCGCGGAGCCCTTAATATCCCTAATATGGGAATTATTATAGAGAAGAGCAGAGGAAAGGTGTTTTAATTCTGGGTTCAGTGAGTCGAGTTGAGATAGTTTTGGTTGGTTTTGGTGTTACGGAGTTTAGATGGCTAGGAAAATGTTGGAAGAATATTTAGCAATGGGGTCAAATAGCAAAAGTATCATCGTCTCAAAGGCTTCCATAAATATATTCGCGATGACTGGTGATAATCGAGAGCCCATAGCAGTTCCCGACGTTTGTTCCAAAATTTGACCCAATAAGCTAAGATAAGATAAGCAAAATGTGTTCCAGACAAGCATTTTTCAATGAAAATGTGAATGTGAATTAATGTTAAAGATTGCAGGAACAGGGAATTAAGTAAGGAGGAAATCTGCGTCTGAACTAACTGAACTTTTTGGTGAAAGGAATCATGTGCTAACAATATATCCAAAAGGGTAATCCTGTGAATCTTAGGGTCAGTAGAAAGATATAAATTAATCACTTATCCTAGCCAATACTCATGCCCCTCCTTTAGCTCCGCCCCACTCGAACAGTATATAAGTAGGTACAAAGTAAAATACGAGTCAGTTTGAGTTTACCTCGGAAGAAGCCGACATTGGCGAAACGTCAGCAACTTCGATTTATTCACAACCGACGTAGTACAGGAATCCAGAAGATATATTTACTAGTCGACAGCAATATGGATCTCACCATCCTTATCGTAATGGCTCCAAACTTCCATGAACTGGTTGGCAGACAACTTTTTCAGCTCCCTTGAATTAGGATCCCTGTACTGCCGCATGAAGTTGGTGGCTTTCTCTAAATTTAACTTTTTCTGATGCTCTGCGTTGCTCATTTTCCTGTAATCGAGATAAAAGCGAAATTATTATACTTAACGGTTAATAATTGCACAGTACATTGAAATGGATACTTTCCACTAGATGTAAAATTTTAAAGAAATAATAATATAATAACAACATTAATAGTAAAAGTAGTTACGTGGTTCAGATGATCCATTCCCATTATCCTGTCTGAGAAATGGAATCATTTGCGTATTAATTATATGGTTTTTATTTTTATATATCGAATCCCAAAACGTATTCAACGATGACAGTGAAGGCCTCCGACTCAACGTTTAGTAGGAAATTTCAATTTTTATGCGAGACGTGGCAAGTTGCCACTTAATTAAAATTTACTTTATAAGTATAGGGTAGCACATATATTAATCTTGCGTTATGACAGTTAGCGTAAATGTCAAAAAATGAAGAAAAACGCCTTTGGATACGGAACGTCGAGCATAGATGGCCATTTGTATGTATCGTTGAATTCGTCTTGAAACGCACTCTCCGAATATGTATCAATATACAGGGTGTTCTGTTGAAAATAGGAAAGTTTGTACCTATGCAAAAAAATATATACACCCTTTATACATAAAATTTAAGAAGTTTAAGTCAAAACAAGAAACTTTTGTGTACCAAATCTTTCATAATTTCATGTTATAGTCTAAATCCACAGCTGACGGTAAAGGCAATTGCGAAAACTATATTTCCAACTAAAGCTTTGTCTATAGCGTTTTCTGCAGGCATGGAATACGTTTTGTAAATTCTGGTTGGCAGTCTAAAAATACATAAAAATGACATAATTTTTATTTTAATCCGGCTGATGGCTCCATTTAAATAACAATTGTCCTTACAGCTTAGATTTAACAGGATCATTTGTCACATTGTGCAATAAATTAATTAGCGTGATATGAGTTTGTTGGTTACGGTGGTGATATACCGCCGGAAATGGTCTGAACTGTAATTGACCGCAGGGATGTTCGGCGTATGTAATTAAATTCGGCCAATCTTCGTTAACGTTCCTCTTTCAGTAATTGGCACGTGTCTATCGCCTTTTCACAACGGATTAATAAGTCACCGTTTTGGTCTGGAATATATTCTTCAATTTTGCAACTTATAGTTTTAATACAGGGCGTCCCAATGGAAATTATTTCGATCTATTATAGGAAAGCTATAACTAGTAAATTATATAGTCCAGTCAGAGCAATTGTGCAGGTACGTCATAGAATAACATCTTTATCTAGTTCATTACTAAATTGACATAGAAATTTTGCTTGTCAGCTTTGAAACCGTTGTTTATGGTCATGGTAGCAATGTAGCTAAGACATACGGATCATTTTTGATTATGTCACTGTACGTGACGTAACTGCACAACTGCTCTGACTGCAGTATACTATAATAACGGTTAGAAATTTGAAAATGTGTTATGATACTCGTTTTATTCGTAATATCGATGAGCTCTATTCAGATAATAAATTACTCATTCTATAATAGTAATAATAATGACAAAGAATCGAATAAATATCTTTATTAACCATTCGAGTAAGTGTTAAAAAAAATTAAGTTGTGGATTTGACAGATAAATAAACTCAAAGTAATCTTACTAAGTATTAATCAGCTCTATCCAACGGATTTACTAACCAAAATTTCAAAATAATAATAATGATAATAATATAATTATTATGATAATAATAATAATAATGAAAATAAATAATAATGATAATGATAATAATAAATAATAATGGTAATGATAATAATAAATAAGAATAATAATGATAATAATAATAACAATAATAATTATATTATTATTATTTTATTATTTATTATGTTATTATTGTTTATAAGTATAATAAAAATAATAAAAACATCTATTAAATCTATTGCTGCAGCTGCCAAAATTATAAAATACGTAAAGGGCAAAAAACAACCAGCCTATCACTAAAACTAAAGACAACTGACGACAAAAAATTAGCAGCTGAATTAAAAGGACAGATAAAAGAAGGCAGAAATTGAAAACGGAACAAATTTATCAAGCACCGACAAGACTTTTGGAATACTCGAATTGAGTGGTCAGAATTTAAAATTTCATAGGGACGGAGTCTGGGTAAGAAAACATATTTTTATGACCACGAACCTGGAACACGTCTCTAAAATATTTTAACTTCTTTGGTATTCAGCTGTAGTTTCCAATCGTCAGACAATACGTCTTCAATATTCTCGGCACAGAATACAATGGAAACTGCTTTTGAACAATGAAAGTTAAGAGAACTAACTTTTTCCTAAGAGAACTAACTTTTTCCTTTGGAGGTCTATAAATTTTAAGTATACCATTATTTATTAAGCTAGAGCTATAAGCTACGTCAGTAGGACAGAAACGTTAGGGCATCAGCAAATCGATGATAATCACAATGCTTCAACGATTTTACAATATTTATAGTAAAGATTTGAAATAAAAATAATAGATTATGAATTAGGAATGTGTATATTAGATTAGATACCTTACATTGGATAGACATCTGGTAGCTGCCTGAAGCATCAAACAACCTTTGAACTATAATTTAATATTACAAAACTTCTTTTGGTAACACAGGAATTGAAAAAATAATTTGTACCTTTTTCTAGGATGACTATCAAATTTTCAATATTTGTTCTGTCCTTTTTGAAAGTGAGATCATTTTTCTGATGTCTGTGACTCCCCAATTAATTCCTTCTTCTGTATTGACTAAGTCAAAATGAACCATTCCGGTCAATAATTGCACGTAGCTAATCATTTTGCTAAATTGTCACGCGCAACGCGTAATGATACGAAGCTGCTTTTCAATGAACCTCATTCTCGTAAAATTGATTCCAATGTCATTGTCTGCACATTTAGGTTAAGTTTTGCAGGAAATTGTATTCCGTTGTCCCCGAACAAGGACTCGAGGAAAGCGGGATTAATTCTACTCCCGCCGGAATTAATTTTATTGATTGTCGGTGTTTTCATTTATTTTCTTAATTACTGAGCCCCAAACTCCATATAGAGATTTAAGTTATCACATTTTTCAAACATTTTTGAGCAGTTTTATGATTTTTTCTGATGATTATAGATATACAAACCTATGTTCAGTAAAACGACTCAATAAAATCCCTTTTATGCAGGTAATGGACAAAGAATACTACTTTAAAATGGCGCTTATCCTCAACTGTCATATTGGAGGAGGAAACAAATTTGAAGCCAATACGGAGTCATAATGCTTGCAATGCACATCTTAGCCGTCGAATTTTTCTAATTTGCAATAGGGGTTATATCCTCTATAGTTGGTACGATTTGCGATGGCATGGTCTGTCATAAAATCAAGAGAGAAGATGCGTCATTATTTTACTTGCTGAGGTAGCACCAATTACCGGAAAAAGGCAGTAGTTTCCACTACAAAACATGCCGCATTTTTTAAAATCTGCTGCCGAAACTCGAAAGGCCGTCTTTAATTATTAGGGATAATGCATGATTTCATTCTAGGCTTAGTGACAGTGTACCAAATGCATCGACAAGAAAAGAAAAGAATTGGCTGCGCAGCGGATTAATTAGCCAGAAAAAGATCTAAAATATGAGTTGTTAACAAATGTCAAAAATTACGAAAACAAATTTGCCGTATGCTACACAGGAAATAAGGAAATGACTCATCAAGTTTTAAGATTGCCTCCTTACCATTGTGCCAAATGCCATAGAATTGGTGTGGGCTTAGCGCAAAATATTTAAGTGAAGCAAGGCAAGATGATACTGCAGTAGTATCTGTTTGGAAGGTAGCTCTCCCGGCACTGACCAAAGAATACTCGTAACCACCACTTGTTAGTTTCAAAAATCGATGAAATCGAATTTTTCGAACGTATCGACGAAAACAATTTTTTTTTATGTTCGTTCTCCGTTATCGTCTTTTGGTTTTTCCTGAATAACTTTCGAACCGTTGGAGCTACAAAATTAAAAATTGCCTCCTTGTTAAACCTCCACGAGGTACATAAGCTTGTTAGAAATGGCACTGATCCGACGCCGGTATTTATTTTTTTTTTATTTTCGAATGTTTTTAGGTAACACGATAACTGTTCGAAATTTGAAGCAATCGACTTTATCTTTGGCACATATATGCAGCATTGCCTCGTGACGGAACCTATTGAAAATGGGGGGGCTGGGGGGTCGGCATATATTCTAAAAAAATTAAAAATCACGTGTGCAATGTTCTATAAAAATCACCATTTCTCAAAAACCGTTTACGAGACCAAAACAATTCTTGAACCGGACTTTTATTCTTGACAATTTTTCAAAAATATACAGGGTTCAAAAAAACTGAAAAATGGGTTCTCCTATTATTGAAAATTGGTTATAACTGAAAGACTACGATTCAGATCTCAATTTCTTTTATATCGTGATATAGCAGATATAGCATAGACAGTAAAAATTTTTGTATTTAAGGTTTTAACCTATTGTACAGGGTGTTCCCGATATTCCGTGCTAAATGAGAAATGTGTTAAGCATCCTAAATTCGCAGATATCAAATTCAAATTTAGCAGAGAAGTAAAACTCCGTGTCGGAGTTTTTTTTTTGGTAATTTTAGCTTCCAGAAAAATATGTTTTCCGCCATAATCGTTCACCCGATCGGCAGACGCGGAAGATCCAATGCAATTACATTTATGTCAGGTATTTTTTAGATTATATACGGGGTTTTTAAAATATAGGCAAAATTCTAAAAGGCCTACAAAATTGTTCTTTTACAGAGTTAATTATTAGCCGCAAATCAAAAATCGTAAAAAATATTGGTCCAAACAGTGTCATAGGCCGCATCAAGAGCTTCAATTTTTGTATTTGCGGTTTTTGTCTGTCACGTACGTTGCTTTGAAAAAATCCATATTAAAATCGCTATTTCTGGGGCTGTCAAGACGCGATGACGTCATTGATTATTAAGGCGCACTGCATGGTTTCGGAAAAAACCTATTTTCTCGAAAACCATGTACTATTTTCAAAAAATTCTTGGACCAGGAAACGTGGAAGA